TTTCTAATCGTCTGATCCGTGACCCGTAACCCGTGACCCGTAACCCGTAGTCTGATGAACCCGTTGCCGTTTGAGCTCCATTTCGTGGAGCCTGGTATCGGATCAGACGATCCTGTATTCCTGTCGTTGACCTGGGGCGCCATAAACGGGTTCAGTCCTCAACATTTTGGTTTCGTTGGTACCTCTACCATAGTCTGGTAGTCACAGACAGTGAAACATTGAACGTATTGGCCACTGCACTGTGGGTGTCAGTTTCCAGCAAGCCAATAGCCCGTAGATGCTACGCGTGTTGCACACACTGCATCCCTAGTTCATACAAACAGGGAATGATGACAAGAAAATCACAACTTATGATACGTAGAATCAATAAGACTGACAGACGAAAAGGTCCACGGAGATTAATCGACCTTCCTTGAAAGTGTCAAAAGCAGGAATGGCAGCCTACGCCCATGAATGGCGCTACTGCGTGAGACACGTACAAACTCGAGGATGTGTTTTGGTGTTACGTTTTACAGTGAGTGAGTGAGTTGGGTTTATCGCCGCTTTTAACATTATTCCAGTTATATCAGGGCGTGTCAGCTTAATGTGGGAGGAAAGCCCGAAGTGATGCAGGTCTAAGACGGTTACCACTTCGGTGAAACCCACGAGCACGGGTATGGTGCTGACAAACCTAGAAACATAATCGGGGCGAACCGGGATTCGAACCCACAATCATAGGTTTCTGGCGTGCCCAAGGGACGCAACTCTGCACAGCGAATCGCGGCGCCTTAGACGACTGGGCCACCCGTGCTTACAGACGTAAGCGTTCTTTCATAGAATGATTGTCGTCAACACTTACCTTCTTTTAATACTTGGTATTAACATGTTTATTTCGTGATCAATTACCTCTTTGAAGAATATGTCAGATCCAAAACTGTCATAGAATTAAAAAAAGTCACATATAAAGAGTAAAGCAATATTTGATACCTGGTCTAGTTCAATTAAACTATGACCTTAAACAATAATGGCCGGTGCAATAATATGACAAGAGCCAAATGGGAATTGAGTGTCGTTCGATGCTAATCTTGTTCTGGGGATCTTTTATGTGAAGTGAGGTGAAATGGAGTTTAACGTCGCGTTCAGGATTATTGTATTCATACAGTGACGTGCATGGACGTATGTGCGTGTGTGTGTGGCTGCTTGTACTAGTCCAGACTAATGCCCACTGAGATACCATGCCACAGTTTAACATGAAAAACCCACTCAGACAAACTTAGTCCTAGCCGACGTCCTTGTTGTATCCCCTTAATGCCCAGCGCCGGGCGGTCTGACAAGTAGTCCCATCTTTTAGTGAGTGAATGAGTTGGTTTAACGCCGCTTTTAACAGTATTCCAGTTATATCGCGGCGTGTCAGCCCAATGTGGGAGGAAAGCCCGAAGTGATGCAGGTATCAGACGTTTACCGCTTCGGTGAAACCCACGAGCACGGGTATGGTGCTGACAAACCTAGAAACATAATCGGGGATTCGAACCCACAATCATAGGTTTCTGGCGTGTTCAAGGGACGCAACTCTGCGCCTTAGACGACTGGGCCACCCGTGCCCCCTCCCATCTTTTAACGTATGTTGGTATGACGCGGTCGGAATTGATGGCGCAGGACACACCGCCATTAATATATTTACTTATACTCTCTCAAATAAAGTAGTGGATATTCGAAAATAACAGATGATTACAGAAATACAAAGGGGTGTCGATTTGGGCGGTATATAGTAAGGGTGCAAACAACTAAGAGGTGAGGTGAGGTGAAATTGGGTTTAACGTCGCGTCCAAGATTATTGCACATTATAGCGACGTGCATGCACGTGTGTGTGTGTGTGGCTGCTTGTACTAGTCGGGACTGATGCCGATTTATAGTGCTAGCCCACTGAGATACCATGCCGCAGTTTAACATGAATACCCCACTCAGACACAGTATACTGACTCCGAGCCAACCAGTCCTTGTTTTAGCCCCTTAATGCCGAGCGCCAGACAGGGTAAGCAAACAACTAAGAAAGACGACAGTGATGTAGTCAAAATATGACGTAGAAAATGACTTGTCGGTAATGGGTCAAGTCCCCAAGATTGGTCAGTCATTCATTTATAGGGTGTGGCATGGTCCGAATTAATCTCCCAATGACAATTTGAGAGACTCTTGTCCACTCCTCTTGCAGAGCCTGGCCCAGTTCGGCTGTCGTAGCGGGTGTCGTTGACGTCGGCGTACACGTTTTGCTGGTGTAAGGTAATCAGGTACGATACGTTACGAGCGTTGTCGACTTGAAAGACAAAGGTGGACCAGCATGGCGCTGGAATGTTCCCTTCCGTTGACAATATGCGGCAATGTCGGAGAAGTCCATTTTATGAACCGGGTTTGGTCTTCCCCGCATATTCTCACAATTGTCACGTCCTTCATCTGTAGGTATCTGCCTTTATTCCCAATATCGATTGTCATATCTCTCCCACTTTTGGAAGCGATCGTTCCGCCATTGCGGTTATCTACATTGCCCAGCTACATCTAGAGGGAAAAACTTTCCTAGCACGAACACATGCATAAGCGTTCTTTCTTATCATTTAGGGCCTTTAGTTTGGAACTCAGCGTTTTATAATTCATTGAGAAACGTCAGAGAGTTTGACTGCATGATTGTTAACGAATATCCTCGCTACGGCCCATCCTAATGACCAAAACGAAGAAATACACATCCAAACTATCGTAGTATCGACTTGATCCGTGTCAAGGCTGACAGTCTACAGCAATCTATAAATTTACCTTAGTGTCTGTTTGACACATCTTTAATCCCCTTTCAATGATCGGCCAGTTGTCAATGATGACTAACAAATATAACCGCCACAGGTTCATTAACAACTTTGGAAATTTCGCAAGCTCCGACTCATACAGTTGGGACCTCACTCTTCGAAGGTTCATACTCCAACAAACACAAAGTGAAAGTCAATTGTTAAATATACCGCGCTTCGTTCTTCATAGTTCTTTGCGATTTATCGCGTAGGTGTCTTATATTTTACGATAACCAACGACCGCGAGTCGTATATTTCTTAAATGGAGAACGTTTATTGTTAGTGAAGTGTTCCTAGTGATCCTGCTACATGAGCTGGAGTGTCGCTGTAGAAGAGAACAGTATAGTTGGTTCTATGCACTGTTTCTTTATTCGTCCAACAACAACGCTTTTTAGAACTGTCTTGCAAACGTCTGTATATCGTTCCTGGTGACAGGCTATTACATGCAGAAAAAGAATATTGAAAATGTACTAGTTTTTCACTATTTTATAGAGACCATCCGCTGAGACGAAGGACCGTGTTAGCAGTGTTATTCGTGTGAAATCCTTGAAATGTGTCACACCAATTACCAAATATACCACAGTGGAATCGGACCGCCTCCGTGGTCTAGTGGTAGAGCGTCCGCCCGGAGAGCGGAAGGTCCGGGGTTCGATCCCCGGCCGCGTCATACCAAAAGACGTTAAAAGATGGTACTTGTTGTTACCCTGCCTGGCGCTCGGCATTAAGGGGGATAAAACAAGGACTGGTCGGCTCGGAGTCAGTATACTGTGTCTGAGTGGGGTATTCATGTTAAACTGCGGCATGGTATCTCAGTGAGCTAGCACTATAAATCGGCATCAGTCGGGACTAGTACAAGCAGCCACACACACACACGTACATGCACGTCGCTATATAAGTGCAACAATCTTGGACGCGACGTTCAACCCCATTTCACCTCACCTCACCTCACAGCGGAATCGAGACAAGAACACCTGATGCATCTGAAAATTCGAATTCTGGAATGGTAGAGTAGACATATTTGACCAATCAACGGCAGCATCGGCATCGAAGAGGAAATATTTAAAAGTTAATCTCCCTGGTGGAACAATTGTGTCCTGTAGAATTCTTAAAACATCTGTTTTGTTGTTTGTTTTATTTGACTTCTGATATGAACGTGCTTGATATCTTTCTTTTAGAAAACAAATTTGAAGTGTTGTATTTTGATTTCACTACTTTGAAAACGAATAGTTCCGTTTTGGCTATCTTTCAATGACTTCACTACATCCATTCCTGTACTATTAGGTCGATTGAGATTGAACATTAGATGACAACTATTGGAGGAAATCTAGCTATTATGGTTTTTTTTATTGGAGGTACTCAAGACGAGATCACATGACCCAACAAAACTCACATCCATATAACTTGGTTTTAATACATCATCCTTATCAATAACAGTTGAACTTCTTCCATGGCATCAACATGAAGAAATGTGTGCTAATTTGACATCGTGTCCACCTTGTGGCATATGTGAGTTACAACTTAACGTCGCATTGGCATTATTTCAGCCATATAGCGACAAGGACATATTGTATCTTAACAATATAATTTACAACTGTATAAAACATCGGTGATAGGCCACCAGCAACCAAAGCTAGGCCACCTCGCTGGGGATCATTGGTACTTACGGTACCTCAGCTTCCCGCACTATATCCCAGCAGGATTTACGTCATCACTTTAGCTACTGTGCACAATACTAGCCAATAATTAACAAAATGTTCAACTATGAGTAGGCTTAAAACACTGGTTGATGATAGTTACATTGATTATGACAGGAATTAAGTGTCACACAGGGGGACAATCATTTACAATACTTTTACCTCCTGGGCAGAGCCTTCATTACTCTTTGTTGATTTAAAAACAAGCAATTTGTTATTTACATACATATTCAGCGCACAGAGCACTTATGCACAGTGAATGCTGCGCTATACAAATGCATATATTATTATTATTATTATTATTATTAAATGTATGATACAGACCAAGCTTAGAGTGAGATGCCCGCTTACACGGACCTTGTGGTATCACGTTGTGACTATCTGCGGGTGCTAATATCAGCGTTTCTATACGTAACGACTGGGAGTACAGTCCCCCCCCCCCCCCCCCCCCCCCCCAGGTTCTTTGTAGATGGTTGATACATCATTTACAATAATTGTAATCGTCAAATAATATTTATTGTCATTGTTTTGAAGCAAGAAGATACATATATACATTTAATGAAATATTTCAAACAAATTTCAGCTCACTTTTTGAAAGTCTCATCGTCGAAATGTCCTGTCCATACTCATGACATAAAAACGTTACACACCAGGAATTCGATTCTTTGAATCGGACTGTCGTCTGTTGCTCATCCATCGAAACAGAGCTAGCAGACGGGAGAGAAGTTGGGAAGCAGAAGACTTCCGTTTTGGTGGCGGTGACGTCAGCGGAACTTCTGGGACAAGCATCTGGAAAGAGTGACAGCTCACAGACCTCGAGCTGGTTAGACTGATCTCGCTGAACGAGCCGATACCAGATGTGTTTGTTTCTGAGGAAGACTGGGATGATGGGTTGGACAATAGGTCTTCCAGTAACTCCGACATATTCGTTTCCATAGGGGTTGCTATTTTCCTTGCCCGATCCAGTTCTCGGCCGTTCTCGAGCGACTCATGAACGCTGTACATTTTTGTTTTCTTAAAACTTCCTTTGTTTTTTTACGTGACGTTTGTTTTATTTGGGGTTGGTTTGGTCCAAAAGCAAGGATGTTGTTCGCGAAGATATTTGAGTACTGAAGTCTAATAATCACTGTTGAAAATTCAAGGATCGTTGCGATACGATCAAACTCGGATCGTAGCATTCAATAGGCCACGTGACCACGTCGTTAATTAAGACTGTAGGAGTGATGTCCCCTGTTCATAAGACACGATTCAGTATGTCGCATAGCGTCAGAACAGGTGCACCTGAAACCCAAAACATTCTGGTAAGCAGGTTACCCTGTTTTCAGTGGCACTCGATACCAACCAGCACCACCAGACTACCATAATGAGGGTACACAGACATTATACCGGACACCTATCTGCCACGTTTGTTTGATGCAACTAATAAAGCCGCACTCGAAAGCATCACTATTTGAAAAATAGGGCGATAAAGCTCAAAGAAAGTAGAAAAAATTACCCGCTTGCCTTTGTACGATTTAATATGATTAAACCTTGAAACTGAATATCAAAGGATACATAAATGTCTAAAATTGGACATCAACATCGAGAATGTACAGGAAAATCGAACTTCCATCATGGCATGCAACAATCTCATCAGCGACATCCGTCGGAGCCACATTTCAGCGAACACGTTGTATTTTCTATCTACTTTGGTAAATAATCATTTCATGGATTTATTTACTTTACGAAAGCTTTTAATTCAAGCCGTTTAGTGGGAGGCACATGCCTTACCAAAATGGCGGAAGGTGGGTCAACACTGTTTTTTCAGTATTTGGTATTATCGCAGCTAGTCAGCATGATGAGGGAGGAAAGTGATGCAGGCGTTTACATCACGGAAAGCACAGGTTTGAGGCTGACAATTACAGAAGTAAAATCAGGGCGAATCATGATTCAATCCAACAATATCGTTGGTGTCTGGCGCGAGTAAGGGACGCAACTTTGCAGTGCGAATTGCGGCGCCTAAGACGACTGGGCCACCCATGCTCCCCAATAACAAAAACGATATGAGTTAGGGTTTTTTCCTTCAAAATAATATTTGCCTCTTGTTATACAGTTTGGTTCCACATCAAGTATTCCCGTATTCTCATTGTGCCTGTTCGATAGACACATTCTACCCCGAATACTATATATTTTAAGTTAGTATTGTTTTACGCAGTTTTTAGCATTATTCGCAGTAACCTATATATTACTTACTTCGTAAAGTCTTCACCTAACGTCCGCCATATGTATAAAGCCAGTCGTCGTTTAGGCGTAACTAAGCGACGTCATGTCTCCTAAAATTGTGACGTAAACAATGTCATTGGAACAATTAACGTGACGCCAAATTGTATTGTCAGTTATTTAGGAGATGAACCCACTCTCCTACCCAGAGTTTCCTGCGGCCGGCAGCCAGCCAGCATAGTGTTATGCTGAGTCACCACTGCGCCGGAGTGTGAGATAAACCTACTGTGTTTTGAAATTTGATGTAATCCCACTGACCACTGTAGAGTAGATACCTCTTTATTTTAATCTGGAACCAAGCGCTTTAGCTCCGACGTACAGTTTGGATCTCATTCTGTGAAGGTTCATACTCCAATGAACTCACACAAAGTGAAAGTCAATTCTTAAATAATTAAATTTTCGTTGTGTTCATTGAATTTCTTGCATTCTGATTAACTGAATTGGTCACGTGTTATTGAATGCTTTTCCCAATGAATGCAAAACAATTAGCAACGCCCACTGAGGCAGACTACTTTTATAACTACGGAATGTCGGGTAATCCCAATATTACAGTCGAGGGAATTCCCTTTCTGCTCACGTGTATCGTCATGCACAGGACATTTAGCGAAACTCATGCTAATTCATTGTCCAAACAACCCTTTGAGACCGAAGGCCGGGAAGGAATAAAACAGCAAAGGTGCAGGCTCCCTCGCCTGCTTTTTCCCGGTCATATATACGACGTCATCAAGTTGCGAGCGCATGTTCGAATCTACAGAAATGACGTCATGATAAGACAATGTTTCATCGTGAAATAAACCACGTTTTGTTCGTCATTGTTCTTTGCGATTTATCGCGTAGCTATCTTATTAGTAAAGAGAGTTTGATCTACGATGTATTAGTGCTAAGTCATAATTATTATATACTCGATTGGTCAATCTCATTAGATATATTACTCCGATGCGTGGCCTCTCGACGTGAAGATCTGAGGACACATCCAAACAAGGTTGGGTCATGTGAACTATGACCGCTCAATCTAAAACACTCATCTACCAAGAGTTCCTTGCGGTCAACTGTCATGCTGAGTGACTGAGTGAGTTAGTTGGGCTCATCGCTGCTTTTAACAGTATTCCAGTTATATCACAGCTCGTCACCTAACCTGGGAGGAAAGCCCGAAGTGATGCAGGTCTCAGACGTTTACCACTTCGGTGAAACCCACGAGCACGGGTATGGTGCTGACAAACCTAGAAACAATCGGGGCGAATCGGGATTCGAACCCACAATCATAGGTTTCTGGCGTGCCCAAGGGACGCAACTCTGCACAGCAAATTGCGGCGCCTTAGACGACTGGGCCACCCGTGCCCCCTCATGCTGAGACATCCCCAATCTCAAGAAGGAGGTGTGAGTTCTTGAGCCAATCAGATGTAAGCTTTAAAAAAAACAGATTCGGTTATGTCGATCTTAGCCAAAGAAAACCCACACATGACACACATTTACCCACGACACCATATTGTGTGCAGACGCCTTGGCTATCAGAAACGAACGGATGTATAAAATATCCACAATATGATGTCGGAGTTGCTAATTTTCCTTCGGATTTCCCCGATTGTATTCGATTACGAGATACATCGTACAGAAATCAAATATGCTTGTCTGAATTAGGGCTTGGAAGGTTAACTCGGTACTCGGGTCGGATGGGTACTGAGTAGGACCCGGGTACCCACAGAACTACCCGGACCCGCGGTTAGTCACGTGATATATTGTTTAATGGCAAAAATTATCTAGAACTCTGTGGTTACACTATAAGTGACAAATGTTCACATTTCTTTCTGACTATGCACACATTCCTCCTGACTTTATATGTTTGCATAAAGATAAAACTTCAATCAATACATTTTGACAGGAGTACGGTCAAACGTTTCCCAATCGGACATTTTGTACCTATCTCTTGATACCTACAGCGGGTACCCGTGTAGGGTCGGGTAATAGGGGGGTGGGTACCCGGGTAGTAAATTTAGACTCGTCCATGCCCAAGTCTGAATGTTCCGCTCGCACCGTATGATGCAGGGCTCAGACGTTTACCACTTTGACAAAACCGGTATGGTTCTGATAAACCTAGAAGTAAATCTGGGCGAATCTGGTAATCGAAACTACAATCAAAGGTTACAGCACGCCTTTATCACGCAACTTTAAACAACGAAATGCGGATTCTTACGCGACTGGGCCACCCGTGCACCGCTAACAAACGTTAGGGAGCAGTTCAGAAGATCAATGTCGGATAAAAATCGCAATTCCTCTTAATTTTTGGGGTGGAGGCATAATAGGTTTGCAAGTTTTAGATAAAGCAAAATAATTTTTTTAGGGCACTTGCAGTCAATAATAATGGACCTTTTTTCTGAAAATAAACGCATCTCCATCATAGGTTAAAGAAAAAAATGATATATAAATGATACCTTGTGGATGTCAACAATTTCATAATTAAGTTTTAGACGTGAGAGGGTATCAGTTTATCCCCCTATTTAATAACTGCACACTTACCAGAGATATTGTTTGGAATTCTGTTTCAGATGAAGCATTTGGATACGATGGAATGCCTTTGTGAATATTTTACGTCCGTTTCAGTTTCTTTTTTCAGCCGAATCGCACAAACATGACATTATGAAAAATGCACCTGGTCTTCGAAGATCCATCATTTGATATGATGGGTGGGGCCTGGAAGTTTCAGAAAAAACAACAACTTTTCTCCAGGTTTTATCCCAAAAATACATTATGCACTGAATGTCCTGAAACACAATGTGTTTGGAAAGAAACACAATTGTTGGGTTCCACCTTTCACAGAATAAAATGCATGTTTTAAAGCAGTGACTAACAAAATATCCTGTCTCCAAAAAAGTCTCACAGTGTGTGAGAGTGAGTATTACACATTTTGTGCCTTTTCATATTGTCAGAAAATGAAAACACAACTGTCATTTTGACATATTTTATTCTTCATCTTGCATTCAAGCACTATACACGCACATTAACTCACTTTATCCATTCAAGAATTAAACACTTATATACACTGATATATTCACAGAAGCACTCCCATCCCAACCAAAAACATGTATCATGAAGCATTTTGATGTCACTAATCTGGTGACAGTTGACCTCACACCTTGCCTAATGCAGTAGAACTTGGAGTGAGTGAGTATGGTTTTACACCGCTTTGAACAATATTCGAGAAATATCAACGGGGACACCTGAAAATGTGCTGCACACATTGTACCCAGGTGGGGAATCAAACCCGGGTTTTTAGGGTGAGGAGCCAACACTTAAACCACTAGGCTACCCCAACACCCAAGTAGAACTTTGAACAGTAAAAACCTGTGCCTATACCTACCTTAGCTATGAACAAAACTATGAGTTTTACTTTAAACAGAAAGTGCCATGCCTCTAGCAATTTGATAACAAAGTTATAAGTTATATGCACTTCTGGTTTATTGACCTTCAATCTCAGCCATAAACTGCTATCACATATGTAATGTTTTATCAAATTCCTATAAAAAATGTTCAAGATATAGACTATACACAAGCTTTTGGGGATGTCTATGTCCCACCAACTGACCTTGACCTTCAATATCACCCAATCACATGCAGGAACATTACTTCTTGCAAACTATGATTGTGTTACAAATCAAATTTCTCCATATCACACTAATAATACTTCCAGAAACGAAACTTATTCACCAATCATTTCATGGGTAAATGACCTTCAAAGCGACCTTGACACAATTACGACATGATAAGTGTTGAGTTAGTTACTTTGAGTTAACTGAGTGCAAAAACCTTTGGCATTTTAATGAATTCATCTGAATTTCATTACATTTGAACCATGTTTCAAAATTTGACCTCTAGTGATCTTGACCTTTACGTGGAAGGCACCAAAAATATGATTGAGACCCAACCTTAGAGATCATGTTTATTAAGTTTCATCAAATTCAGTTCATAAATACTCAAGTTATGGTATTCACAAGCTTTCTTGATGCTTGGTTCATGCTTTTGTGAGAACTTCAAGGTCATACATTCATAGGACAGAAAAGTCCCTTAGAATATAGGAGGAATATCAGGTATGAAGTCCCTAACATCTAGGGGGCCCAGAGGGCCCAGTCATCTAAGGCGCTCCATTTCGCTGTGCAGAGTTGCGTCCCTTGGGTACGCCAAAAACCTATGATTGTGGGTTCGCCCCAATTATGTTTCTAGGTTTGTCAGCACCATACCCGTGCTTGTGGGTTTCACCGAAGTCGTGAACATCTGAGACCTGCATCACTTTGGGCTTTCCTCCCACATTAAGCTGACACGCTGTGATATAACTGGAATACTGTTAAAAGCGATGTTAACCCCAACCCACTCACTCACTCTAACATCTGTCTTTTGCACATGGTTGAGAAAACGAATTGCTGCAGTGGAGCTCAAATTTGAGAAACCACAGGGGCTGCTTAAACATAGTTCACAAAAAAAACAAAATAATAAACACTGTTTTACAAAAACAGCCATGACTCCAGACCCATATACACCACAGATATATTCAGCAATATCTCAAAAACAGCCATGACTCCAGACCCATATCCACCACAGATATATTCAGCAATATCTCTTCGGCTGGAACATTGTTCAATCAGCTCCACTTTACTAAATCTACCCATGCCAAGAGTTTCCTCTTGTCTGTATCAAAGCCTAGATTTCAACCTTGCCATTTCAAGCCTACTATTCTTGGCTCGACCGTGGTGCTACCCAGTGTAGAAAACGAACTGTGCCCCTTGTGATGAAAATGCGATATCCAATCACATCACTGCTATTATTCTGAATAGCTCCAAAATGATGACTACCACAGCAGACGACCTGGTCGATCAGTTAACAAATAAGGAAGAGAATTTATGGATGTCAACTTTTTTATCATGAGGTACACAACATTTCGGAGTAAATGCTTACTCCTTCATCAGGTGAATGGATGCTATGAGGCAGAGAGCATATACATGTACCTGTATGACGAACAAAAGTAATAAGATAACAAAAGCATCCATTCACCTGATGAAGGAGTAAGCATATACTCCGAAACGTTGTGTACCTCATAATATAGAAGTTGACGTCCAAATATTCTCTTCCTTATGTGTATCACTTTTAAATGCCTTTCAAAGACTTGAGATAACAAAGAGATTTCAGATTTCATCCCTGGCAAACAAAATGACAAATTACTACAGTAAAGATACTTATTGATGCCACACTTACAATAATAGAGGATAGTCCAACCCCGAGCATGTCTGTTTTAGCACAGAAAAGAAGGCTTGAAATGGCAAGGGTGAAACCTAGACTCTGATGGAGGCTAGTGGACTCTCTTGACCCAGGAAGATGACTATATTCAGGATACAAGCAGGGCTTCTGAACTGTTCTTACCTAGGTAAACCTACTGAAAAATCACAAACATGATATCCTGGACCAATTTCTCATTTTTAAAAGAAACATTCCTTGTGATGTGTTTTCAGCTCTGTACCAAGGTGTCCAAAGCATGAATGATGTGGTGAACCGCAGCTGGAAACAGTTTCACATACACTGATAGTGTCAATTAGCTGTCAATTCCCCTGTCTAGTAGCTGTCACTCACTGTCACTCACTGTCATCAGCTGATGGGTGTCAGTGTCTGAAGTAGTAGTCTATAGCTGTAGAGAACAGGGCAAATCCAGCTGCCCCCAACAGGCCAGCCTTCAGTCCAGCTGAAACAATAGCAAGGGCTACTTGTAGGTTTCAATCCAGGGCTTGACATTCTCAGGGCTTGACATTCATGTGCTGAATATAAATAGGGACATGAATATTTTGCTTGATATTTTTATGAAATTGTGTGCTCGGTCTTCACTACAAAAACATATTCCCCAAAATATTCATTATCCCTAATGTTTTTTGTGCAGTATAGAAATGGACACTAGCCAATATGTGTACTAAAGAACAGATTCTACTAGCCAACTATGATTATACTTGCCCAATGCTCAAAGCTATAGGCTATCGGTTGATTTCCAATGCTACACTTAATGTGTTGGTGACAATCTTAAACAAATTACATCCTTAACTCCCATCAGATAACTCCCTGTGAAGATCTGACAATCAGTTCACAGGAGTTCACAGTGGACTTTCTAAACAGACCTTGGAAGTGTCTAGATCCAAGGTATAAGTGATCATTCATTCAAAGGACCTCAACTTCATTCTGTATCTTGAAAATGAACATAACTAGACAGTTCCAATACAATAATAAAATAATACCGACCCTGTTATGATGTGGATATTTTATGCACCCTGTCCATTGAAGGAATATTAGTGTTCTGTGTGAGTTTGCTTTTGTTAAGAAGTTTTTGACAAATTGGGAGTGGGAAAACAATGAAACTGAATCGTTTTACAAAGTTGACATCAATTTTTTCAAGAAGTCAAGCATACTTCATTCAGGTCAAAGCTTATTCACCTAACATGACCTCAGTCTCCAATGGAGGATTTTTCAGATCTCCATACAGAGAGGTATCTGGGCTAAAATAGCCGATCTTAATGAGATTGTATTGGTAACTTCAACAAGTTCTGCATACACTGATAGTGTCAATTAGCTGTCAAGTCCATTGTCAAGTAGCTGTCACTCACTGTCATTAGCTCGAACTCCAATGGAGGATTTGTCAGATCTCCATACAGAGAGGTATCTGGGCTAAAATATCCGATCTTAATGAGATTGTATTGGTAACTCAAACAAGTTCCGCATACACTGATAGTGTCAATTAGCTGTCAAGTCCCCTGTCAAGTAGCTGTCACTCACTGTCATCAGCTCGGACTCCAATGGTAACTTCAACAAGGATAATAACTCAAAGACTAAAACAAATTAACTTGGTAACTGTTTGAGTTGACTACTTCTCTGACCCTATGTCTTCAGAAATATGTCTTGCTTACCTCTCAAACCAAGAACGCCACCCACGATGCCCCCAGACAGTGTTCCATTTGACAACTCGCTCTTGCCTCTGTACTGGAACACACATGGTCAGGTGAGTTAAAGGACCATGTATAGACTTACGTATCTTCTGTGTTTGAGATCAATGCCTATAGAATCATCCCTGAAGGCAGTGTACCCAATGATTTGATAATAATACCCTGTGGATGAACATAAACTTGCCAAGAGTGAGTCAGTTGGGTTTCATACCACTTTGAACAGCATTTAAATCACCCCCACTATATCACAGCATGTCTGCTTGATGATTTGTTTGTTGTTTAACGCCGCACTCAGCAATATTACAGCTGTATGACGGCGGTCTGTAAATAATCGAATCTGGACCAGACAATCCAGTGATTGACATCATGAGCATCGATCCACGCAATTAAGATCGATGACATGTATCAACCAAGTCAGCGAGCCTGACCACCCGATCCCGTTAGTCGCCTTTTACGGCAAGAATGGGTTGCTGAAGACCTATTCTACCCCGGAATCTTCACGGGTCTCTGCTTGATGAGGGAGGAAAACCCGAAGTGATATAGGCCATAGACGTATACCATTTTGGTTAAACTCACAAGAGTGAGTGAGTGACTGTGGTTTTACACCCCTTTTAGCAATATTCCAGCAATATCACAGCGGGGGACACCAGAAATGGGCTTGACACATTGTACCCATGTCGGGAATTGAATCCGGGTCTTAGGCATGACGAGCGAACGCTTTAACCACAAGGCTACCCGACCACCCCTAAACTCACAAGACAAGTATGGTGCTGACAACCAAGAAACATAATCAGGGCGAACTTGGATTCCAAACCACAATCATTGGTTTCTTTTACACCTAAGGCATGCAACTCTGCACAGCAAAACTAACACTTAATTATCTTTATATGTCCTTTCAAAAATCACCCTTGACAAAAGGATAAGATTGAGTGAATTTTCACTACAAAATTATCTCCCCTTGGACCAACACATATCTTCTCTAAGTCTTTGTCAAATTTCCTGTAGGAGTAATAAAGATTGAGATTGTCAAACTGAAAATTTGGTTGAAGACAAAAAAATCAAAATGCTTCAACAGTGACCCCTGTGTGTGATGCTAACGACCCTCAGATCCCAAACTCACAGATTCCAGTAAACACTCAGTGCCAGCAAACATGCAGCCCACCACAGCAAAGTTTTTCCCGTAAGAGATGGATCGGAGCTTCATTTCCTTCAGCACCATCCGAGTTGTTGGGGTCTCTGTGCTGATTGTCGACATCGGGTCCACACCTGCTGTGAACAACCCAAACGCTGCTCCCACCCCAAAACCTGAGCAACAGAATGTCAACAATGCATATTAAAACACATTGTTCAGCATTGAAAGAATATTTGTGACTTTGAAAAAAACCCTTACTTGTGCTGTTGGGGTCGTGGATGTAAGTACTACAGATATGTAGCCCAGGTACCATTCTGAATAACCAAATATACCCACAATACTTGCGTGTACTGTAAATGTTGAAAAGAACATGAGCATGAATCAAATGCAAAATATGCGAGTGGTCTTTGTTCACATTAACGATTAGACGGCCTTGCTGCACACTTTGGATAGCAGAAATATCAACTTGAACATATACACAAACCCGGTTTATTGAGCAGCAGTTGTAACAAGTACAGAACAATGTCATTTAAAGAATAGGAATTACACAATAGGCATCCGGTGAGTTATTCCTGCTGGGGTGAATGAATGAATGATGTTTATTCTCGTAAATCACGGCAGTGATACAGAGATGTAATTGGATACAGGAATAAGATACAATAGGAGAAAACATGTCAGTGGAACATTTCCATACATGATCTTATATAACTCACCAGTTTTAATAGAATTGGCTTATAAGTAATGGACATCAAATTTGATAATTTTTTGGGTCAAGAGTTCTCCCCACTCGTGTCAAACTAGGCATCGTTGACCACTCCAATCGGTGAAATGTTGTTGGTTCAGTTATCTTATTGCCTTTGAACTTCCTTAATGCCAGTCAACAGAATAGACATATAAACTATGTATTGTTTTTAGGAAAACACTGTTTATTGTTAATACGGAAGTGCTTTACTCGGTGCTAAAAAACAGTGCTATTTGTGTTTGATTGGATTAAGGATGGATATATATCATTCCACTGGGGATGGGGTCGTGATAGTGGCATTGATTTTAAGTCGCTTTTTTGGCTAGGTGTCAGCAGTTGTATTAATTTGAAGATGCATAAATTTCAAGATTTACAGTACACAAATGTACCACAGCCTGGCAATATATCCTTGCATACTGTGTTTTCGAGCCCCTAAGAATTATATCTTATTATGTGTCCAATATTCGCAATACACTAAAATTAAGTATTACCTTTGAGAATATTTATTTCTGTTTACGACTAGATAGTCAAATAACAACATCTTGCCAATTTAATCTTTATAATACCTCGCCAAGCAGCGGTAGAAACTAACAGTTTCAGTCCACTAGTCCTTATAATGCTAGCATATAGCAAAACCTTTAAAAATGTCAAAATTCTACTAGTCCTTAGGATACCTTTACTATTGGGCAGTTTGGCAAGGACTATAGGACTAGTGCCAATTTCTAACCCTGCCAAGTGAGACGGTGTCAAACAGGTGCCATCTTGTTGCCATCACCTAATTTTGAGCCCCTCCAGTTAAAAATAGATGCACAACATGATCAGTCAAATTAAATAAACAACCTAAAGTCCCCCGGGTTGCCCTTTCTTTTCGGACATACCCTCCTCAGTAAAACCCCTAACGGGCCTGGCATGCCCATGTGCGAAATACGCATAAAGTCAGTAAGCGCACGTACAAACACCAACTCCCACTCTCATGATCAGTCACATGACATTACAGACTGGAAGTTTACTAACAGCAGCCAAAGCATCACCAGTGCATAGGATTGTTCTGAAGCAAACTCTTCATCAGATCAAATTATATTTAAATGTGCATCAGTGAAAAGGTAAGTTTTGAGGTATGTTTCCATTACTTATTGAATATCTTTCCCTGTGTAACTTAATATTCCTGACGTAAACTCAGTGGAGAGTGGCGAACACTTTGTTTTCACTTGGCTTTGAAGCGTCTACCTTGATTACATCATAAAGTGTGTGGTTACATATTGTTTAGGGGGTCGAAAACATGTGGAGATGTATACGGCCCTGATGTTAATAAAGGTCTCATAGTGAAGATGTGATGTAAATGAATATGTGCCACAAAATTGTACTATTATGATTGTACAGATTATGGATCAGTTGACCTTGAAACAATAAACACTGATTGATATGTGTCGCTGGTCTATAAATTTCAAATGCAAGAAAAGCGTTTGAGATTGGGTGTCACATACACTCAGTCATGTATAACCTTAATACCCTACAATGTTGATTTAGTGCCGCTAATATTGTCTCACTAGGTTATATTTGCATATAAACATTATACAGAAAGGTACATGAAGCAAATATCTGAAGTACACCTCGCCATTGACACCAACAGCAACTTATGTCTATCGAGAGGGATAAAGATATTTGTTTCTCAAATACAATGTTGTCATATTAGATATAAAAACATACTCTTTTTCTTAACACTTTGGATTTAAATAAAATTAGACAAAGGTAACATTCACTGAATAAACTGATGAAATCGAAATATAATGTCACCCCCCGTGCCCTTGTAAACACGAGTGCGTCATTCAACCAGATTTTACGACACTTCAACCGTTTTTTCCAAACAGAAATAAACATGCCCTGATTTTAATGTCACCGTTACTTATCAATAATCTTTGTTAATTTTCCCGTTGCGTAACTCCTTACCAATAACACAACTTGCAACTGATTTGAAAGTACAGCTCTCGAAGGCTCTTGAAATTATTATTTCTTCCTTTGACTTCGCCATCTGAGGAAATGTCCCGAGTGGCATCATAACGCGAGATCTGTGTTTTTTCTCACCAATCACATTGTCAAGAATAAAATTAAAGTTCTGCACATCTTTCATTTCGAGTTTTGATACATTTGTTTCGTCTTGGGGTTCATGCATTCCCGCAGCCGTGCTCTCCATGGGCGCAGCCATTTTGCTGCGATTGAAAAGTGGGAATGAATATTTGACGAAAACGAATTGGGGCCCACTGTGGGTTGTAAAGTTTACGAACATTGATAAAAAATAACTTTTGAGAAGACACTTTTTCAGTATTTTTATTTTTTAACGATAAACTCATTGTGTTTTTCGCCCGCTTCTGACTGATGTCAACACATTTCAGTTTCTATCTTTATTCTATGTGAGTATTCAAAATGTCAGAATTGATTCAGGCACTAGAAGACGCAAGTCACCCTTGGTGTGTGTGGGTTTTTTCAGAGTCTACTTTAAATCATTGAATTAATATAGCCATGTCTCTGTATTCAAAAGGGTTCAAACCGGGTTGTTTCTAGTTCGCAACGACAATGAAATTACGTTACATTTCAATCAAGCCAAAGGCGAATGCAGGGTAAAGAATTGTACCTCAATATGACGGCGGTCTGTAAATAATCGAGTCTGGACCAGACAATCCAGTGATTGGCATCATGAGCATCGATCTACGCAACTGGGATACGATGACATGCATCAGCCAAGTCACGAGCCTGACCACCCGATCCCGTTAGTCGCCTCTTACGACAAGCACAGTCGCAGTCGCATGGGTTGCTGAAGACCTATTCTACCCTGCTCTTCACGGGGCTCACACTTGTGACCAATTCAATTTAGTTTTAGAGTTTAAAAAAACAAATCAGATGCTTTTAAAGCATTATTATTAGCTGAAATAGTACGTCTTATTGGCGTCCCTTCATCATCGTCACCACTGCTACAGCATCCCTATATACGACGTGGTAACGGGGTTGGCTAATTGATCTATGCCAATAGCCGCCGGTCCTTGTTCTAATCCGATCCAAAACGAATATAATCGTTGTCTGACATCCCTTTACCTACTACGCCCATGAGTTTGGTAAACGTCTACGAGTGTATCATTCCACTTCTTCCAACTTTAAGCTGACCTGTCCTGTTATACTAATATACTACTCGAAAGAGTGAGTGAGTGAGTTGGGTTGAACGCCGCTTTTAACAGTATTCAAGTTATATCGCGGCGTGTCAGCTTAATGCGGGAGGAAAGCCCGAAGTGATGCAGGTCGGGAATCGAACCCGCAATCATAGGTTTCTGGTGTGTCCAAGGGACGCAACTCTGCTCAGAGAATCGCGGCGCCTTAGACGCCTGGGCCATCCACAATTATGGACTCACGCCTACTTTGCGATATAACTGGAATACTGTTAAAAGCGGCGTTAAACCCAACTCACACACTCACTCACCATAATTGTGGAGAACCGATCCTGGGTCTTAGGCGTGACGAGGTAACCCTTTAACCACAAGGCTAACACACAGCCCTTTAACTATATAAAATGGCAAGGCCGAACGTACGCGATCGTATCAGGCAGACGGTGGCCTTCTAATGCTGTACACAATTTCAATCTTAATCCATTATTTAGGGAGATGAGGATGCTTGCTTAGTTACTGACCAAGGTCACGGCAATACCCCCTGGATCGCTCTATAGTGACGTCTTGGTAACAAATAACATTGAGTACCTATCGTTGTCCGCCCATTAGTAGTTACCATAACAAACAACTCTCACATTCCATGGCGTACTTTACAATTAATACTGGATTTCAGAAGAATACTCCCCAGTAACCCCAAACAGGCAGGACAAACCAACAACATTTCAACGTTTTAAAACTTAAAATCGAATGGTACTTGCTAGTTGTTTTTTTTAATTACTTCCAGACACGCTATTTACCTTGGAAGTCTTGAAACCAGCTAGGGAGTATTTAGACTGGAATTTGTGTAGCAGTACATATCAACTGTATCAATTTTCACTGCCGATGTGAGGTTAGAATTCGTAGGTTCAGAGGCGTATCCAGGATTTAAAAAAAGAGTGTGTTAACCTTGGGCCATTTGTACCTTCAGTGTGTGCGTGCGTGTGTGTGCGTGCGTGCGTGCGTGCGTGCGTGCGTGCGTTGGTGTGTCCACTGGACGGACAATAGCAAAAGCAATTTAACCCAGAAAATATATAAATATGCACTCGTCTGGTTTTATTATAGGCCCTACATATATAAGTGATTTAAGTACCCATCTGGGGGTAATGTTTGATACTGTGTAGTGGCTGTCAGTTCTGGTTAATGACAAATCATGTCTTTCAAAGAGCCCATCATGTCCTTCAGTTTTACATAGTGTTCTTCGGGCTGTGCATGAATCGTCTATGGGTTTAAGACCCGATAGCCGCAGTGGTGTTCCCAGTAAGTTTATCATGATACCCTGTCCATAAATATGAATTCTGATTGTTCATTTTATCTTTATGCTTGCAGCAAGCACTTATTTTCTGAGGTAGCAATGTGGTAAGTATGACATCTCATTTTCATATTGGGTTATTCCGTTTGCTTGATGCATCGTTTATCATCATTACTGATAAAAGAAGACAAGGTTGAGTTGGGGATGTCTGCTTATATATTCTTTCACTATACGTTTCCGAACACTATCAAGCAAATGGTTGGTTGGTTTGTTGTTTAACGCCGCACTCAATTCCAGATATATGACGGCGGTCTGTGAAAAAACGAGTCTGGACCAGATAATCCAGTGACTAATATCATGAGCATCGATCCACATCATTAGGATCGATGACATACGTCAACCAAGTCACCGAACCTGACCACCGATCCCGTTAATCGCCTCTTACATCAAGCGTAGTCGCCTTTTATGGCAGTCATGGGTTGCTGAAAACCTATTCTACCCCGATCTTCACGGGTCATCAAGCAAATGGTTACTTTTGTATGGTGGCCCATAAGGGACATGGAGTCTGTTTTTCAATATTTTGATATTTCACTTACTTTTATCGTAACCTTTTGCAAATTAACACAGAAGTAGTTATCCATAAAAAATTGTATCTACTTTGTCATCCTTCAACTTCTAAGTAATACCTATCAAACAATAGATCCTAAACAGCATTTAATCTTATGGTCACCTAACCAACAAGGGGAATATTCAAATATCTTGACCACCCAATCTCCACTTCAATAAGCTCTTACCACAATCACCTGATCATTTATTCCACGGAAGGAATAAAAACAGACCAAGCAGAGCAAGAGATCAATTGATTTGGGTCAGTTTTATACTCTTCATGTCTAAATCATAAACAAGAAAAAAACTACCCACATGTCTTTAAGATTAGAATAATAAGTGAATATAGTTAAATAATACTAAACGATCTTGTAATTCACTGCAAAAACAACAGAACACATTCATAGCTTTTGATGACAAACCTCCCTATATTTATTTCATACAAATTGAATACCTAAAACAATACTGATGACTGCATTGAAACGATATTCAACAGTGCAAAAATCAAAAGGATCTTCAAAAATAGGCTTTCATCATCTGCTGATTTGGACGGACATTTTGAAAACATAAATAAATAAGTAAACATAACAGGAATAAATTTCTTAAGAGCCACTGCTTGTTACATCAGTCAAATAAAAGACAAAAGGATAAAAAGTAAAAACAGGTAGAATGCTTGCTGTAACAGTCATGGAGCCGTTACATAGTGATTTGCTCCTCTGGGAACAAGGTAAACATCATGGCAAATGGATACTGTTTATACAGTTTTCAAACCTTTTATCACACCCAACCTCCTGTATCACATTTCAAGCTTGCAAATACTGCACATAAAGAGATGTTAAAGACAGACAGAGGTACTATCACAAATAACCATCTGCCATTAATTCAACAAATAACCCTCTTTCACACTGCAGTGAAATCAGAGCTCATTGAGAAAATACATGGGACTTTGGGCAGTCTGCATAGTTGCCTGCCTGCATTGACCCATAGGACAGTCATCTTAGCCAGGACACTGCTTTAAGTCTACTGAATTTGGCCCTTGGTGTGAGAGTGTGTGAGCGAGTAAGTGTGTGAACGAGTGATGTTTTATTTTGCTTTTAGCAGCAACGTACTCAAACAAGAACTTTCACAGTATGTGTCAGTATAGGGAATGGAAACCAGGTCTTCGGTGTAAGCATGGACGCTTCAGCCACAAGGCTACCCCACCACACCTACTTTTCTTATTTCAAATCTGTGATACTGCAGATGTATGACTTGTATGTTATTTGTTTTGCTTTGCACTCATCACCAGGAAACAATTGGTAGCCCTCCCGAATAGGATAAGAGAAAGCGTTTGTAAATGATTTGAGACAAAATATCCCACATATTGAGCGCAACAATCATGGCTTAGCACAACACGATGGTAAAATGAATTACGTAAGTGAGTGGGAGGATGTTTGACGCCAAAGTCAGCAATATGACAGCTACATTAAGGCGGCCTGTGAAAGATTGAATCTGGACCTGACAAACCAGTGACTGATAGCATGAACAATCCCCAACCTTGGGGTATGATGATATACAATCAGCCAGATCTCACATTGCACCCAACTGATCCCCACACAATCAGCTCCTACAATATGCATGAGGTGCTGGGGGCCTTCTACATATTATGAAAGAATAATGACTACATGAATATAGCAGAAACTTTGGTCAGTGATATCATGAAATCGTTGATTAATGCTTAACAAAACCTTGTGTTGACTATAGTTATCACAGTGTTCAAGTCCTTTTCAGATCAAACAGATTCAATTCAATGTAATATGACTTTTGTTTACAGAAATAATTTGCATAATTTGAATTCAAAATGATTATTGGATGTGAAACACACCAAGCAGTCCCGAGTGTGGAGATGGTTTGAGCAAGAGAAAAGAGAAAAGCAATTGTGTATCCTGTGAGCCACAGTAGATTAATACATCGGGTTGACAAAAATATTTACATCATATAAATACATCATAACACAACCATATTGATACATGCAAGATGTTTCGAACTTCACTAAAACTGGGTTTGATATGAGTCCCCATGAATCACTGGTATACCCACTCTTAATATCCCAATAGCTGATGCACTAGACATCACTCTACCAAGCTATTGTGGAAGCTGATTACACAAACAGCACCATATCTAGTCAGCAGTCTATGTGCCTGCCCTCCCATAAAGTGGACACTGCATAAACCAAACACTCTATTCTGACAGCCATGTTTATATGTTGTTCAACTGCCTGTTCGTGAATGAAACAAGCAAAGATTCAATAAAGTAGACAATGAATACATCCATCCTACCCATGTTTATGATTTAAGAATATGTTTATAAAATAATAATAGATCAAATCTTCATTACATAGTTGCATAGTATTTTCATTAAACCTTCCTGTGTGATTTAAAGAATTTCTGAAATTGGTAACGATGTCATGATCTGACTATCTCCTGACATGATACATATCGTGATATTGCGTCAATAATGCATGAATTTTTTGTTTTATATTCCTCATTGTATACAGGAAAACAGAAGTGTTGATTGGATAGCATAAAAAGTATGAATTGCATGTAACAAGGGTGTCATGACTTAACCAGACCAGTGCTCATTAAATATGCGAGGATATTGAGGTCATAAAACTTATTCAAAATGCTTGCTGATTGGTCATAAAAGCTAAAGTTGTTCAAACAAAATGCGTTTCAACAGACATGATGTTATTATATTAAATGTTCCATGTGAGAAATGATATGGGATCAAAATATGAATCGATAGAGGATCAAAATATGAATCAATAGAGGATCAAAATATGAATCGATACAGGTAAGTGTTTATTGGATACCGTATCGACTGAGAATATTACTGATGCATCGATATACTGGTGAATCATGACATCCCCAGCAATTGGTATATCAAATTTAAGTCCACAACCTAAAGATATGCAACATCTATTTTAGCACTCGTCAGCACAATCAGTTCAGTCCAAAGTGACAGAAAACCAATATCATAAAGATCAGATCTTTTACTCTCATACTACTCTGCATGAATATATTCGAAAACACCTATACAGGAGGTGGTGTCAGGTGAACATTCTAATCAGCCAATCAGCATCCTGGTTCTAAATGGTTCTAAGTGAGTAAAAGAGTGAGTGAGTTGGGTTTAACGCCGCTTTTAACAGTATTCCAGTTATATCGCGGCATGTCAGCTTAATGTGGGAGGAAAGCCCGAAGTGATGCAGGTCTCAGACGTTTACCACTTCGGTGAAACCCAAGTGCACGGGTATGGTGCTGACAAACCTAGAAACATAATCGGGGCGAACCGTGATGCGAACCCACAATCATAGGTTTCTGGCGTGCCCAATGGACGCAACTCTGCACAGCGAAATCACGGCGCCTTAGACATCTGGGCCACCCGTGACCCCCTAAGTGAGTAAAGCATTCAGACAAACATATCTGATATCTAACTCGAAAACAAAAATTATTGGGATGCTTTGCTTGTTTTTGTTGGTTGTTTAATGCTGCACTCAGCAATATTCCAGCTATATGACGGCAGTCTGTAAATAAACAAGTATGGACCAGACAATCCAGTGATTGACATCATGAGCAGCGATCTACGCAATTGGGATACAATGACATGCATCAACCAAGTCAGCGAGTCCACCCGATCCAGTTAGTCGCCTCTTACGACAAGCATAGTCGCCTTTTACGGCAAGCATGGGTTGCTAGTTCCAAATGCAACATATACAAGCTGTGCTATTATCTTTTCTACATGCTGGAGTTTTGGGGCACCATGTCTGGGTCTACTATCAAATGTAAATCTGTGCTCCGTTTTCTTAGCTAAGGTCAAAATTTCCAAATGAAGGTGAAAAAGAAATGGATTGGCTTATGAATCCATGCATTTTTCATTTAGGTTTGGTGATCAAAGTCAGCTCAACGTTTACTTGACATGACTTTCTATAGAGGTGTCCTCAGTTCCTCATGCAGAGGTATCGTATCGGAGTAAAAGGTCTGATTTTCATGAGCCAGGATTCCACACTATCAATGATAATGAGATGAGAGGATAAATAATCAACAATTCTCAGCAACAGTTCAGTTATGACAGCACAGTTTGGTTCTGAAAGGAAAAAACCCACATTGTAACCACTGTCCTGTGAAGAAGTTCTGTTTGGACGGAAAATGGAACTAGTTGTCGCCATATTGGCACCATCAACATTTAGCAATGGACAAGGTCCTAAACCATTCATTCATAAATACAGATGCTGGATGACCAATACAGAAATTGTAGGCTCATCTGAATATTATTCTGCATTTCCTTTTTGACCATGATTACCTATTTCAAACATAGTACCATGATAACATATTCAGGTCTACAAGTTAGGTTCAACTGGAACTTAGCATGTACTTGTATCGAAAGAATAATTTGCCACAAATTCTAAAAATCGACGTAATTGTGACCAGCATTTGGTAGTTTTAGCCTGACCATGGAGACATGAGTTCTATATCGTCTGAACAAAAGAAGTTAGGGATTATGAATATTTTGGAGAATATTTTGTGGTAATGAAGACTGGACACACAATTTCATAAAAGTGTCCCTCAAAATATTCATGACCCTTAACGTTTTTTGTTCAGTATATTATTCTATACATGACATAGATCCCAAGACTAGTGAGATTTAAGGAAGTGAAGATTGCATAGATCTGCAGCAGTAGGACCAAAAGCTATACGTTTCTGATTATAATTTGCGCTAAAATATCATCTTCAAAAATAGTTCATACATGGAAGTATTTCATAATATCATACCCTAAAATTTACATATCTGTTATGTAAATGGGTGTAGTTTTATCTTTACTGAAAGAGGAAAACATGAACACCACGACGCCATCCTGTACTCAACATTAACAATACTATTAGTAGTTATTGTACTAAAACTAAACCAATACCAAACAATCAATATATTATATATAATTCACGCCTTCTATGAAACACACATTCATACACAGGGAGCAAATAAATAACACACATTAAAACAGACATACATCAGATGCATTTCACAGCATGAAATAGAATATCTGTTACCATGGTAACAACTGAGGGTAAACAAAGGATGGATGAGTGGAGCGAAAGACATTTATGAAATATTTCATGTATCACATCAATATTTCTAAATCATATCAACAGACTTGTCTTAATCTTTGGATGAAAAATTATAAGTTTGGCCATTAGTACAATGACTGTCATTTTACAGTGAGAGACTAACTCTGACGACTCATTTTGCTCAGTTATAAAAGCATATACCGTATTCGACGTAATAAGCGCCCTGCTCTAATAAGCGGGGCAATGCAATATTTGCTAATATATTGGCTAGTGAACAATCCCAATTAGCACCCCTTCCGATTGATCAATGTACACAAGATTTATTTATTCGTGTATAATACGCACTCGAATGTTATTACACCCTTAATTATGGGCAATTAAATTCTGGAAAAATATATCTGTCGTATATAAACATTTCAGGCTGTCAGAATAAGCCACGAAATTTATCTTCAACTCTGTTTTTTTCACCAAAATAATATTCTAATAAGAGCCACCTATTTCTAATTTTGAGAGTGCCCTTGGCGCTTATTATGTCAAATATGGTATACTAGTCCACATTAGATAGGGATATTTTTATCTTCTATGATGCACGAAACTGATTCTCATATTTCAAGCATATATAATAAGAATGACATATCTGATTATCCCTATCAAAGGTTGAGTAGAATAGAATAATAAGCCAAATCTTTCAGGCGAAATATAGAGAAAAGATTTCTTTAAATATTTATCATTTTTGCTGATATATGAAATAGTGTGAAACAAATAAAATAAAACATTCTTGGAATACTGTTAAATACTTTAGATAAACTCAAATAAAATCACTAAACAGCAGAATTCCCTTTTTTAAGAATTTGTCACATTAAAGCATTTGTATTCCACACATGGTACAATGGTTTTCACACTAGCAAAATATTTCCTGAATATTTCTTAACCAATAGGTTGTCATTTTAACATCAATAAATCATACAGCCTTTAAGTATTGCTTATAATGTCCATCGCAAGTTTGATCTCATAATAACCATGATAACCCCACATCCGACAATGAATAAAATGATAAAGCACACAGCACAGGATACTTCCACTATATTTGTCCTTCAGTGATATAGAAACTTGGCAAGCACACTTTCACTTATACTCCGAGTTGGTAGACTCCTGGACATGGTGAACCCAGCCTGGCTCTGCCCTTGACACTTGTTCTACAGCTAATGTTGCAATTTCTGGCGATGTTGAATCTGCCTTCCGTCTCCCTAGTTGCTGAGACGACACAACCTGATGTAACAACACAGCATTTCTCTCTTGACCCATTTTGGAAATTGGTGGCAGGATTGTGGTCTGTTGCCGCTTGTCAATAATCGGCACACCATCTCCTTTTTTAAGGAACGGTGCGATGTCTGGAGATTCAGATCGACTCGAGCCACTACTTTTACCCGAGGCAACTCGGAGGGGACGGGCCTGGAGCTCGTCTGCATTTCCATATCTTCGATACTGTCTTCGTAGTTTGGACTGGATATCTTTTGGTGGAGCTGGGATATAGCTTGGGGCTTGTGTTCTCCGTATAGTAGGGTCAGCACCTGGGTCCACTTTGTTATTGAGCTTATATCTGTGAAGCTCGGAAGTCAGATAGGCTATATTATTAGATTTGGCCTCCAGTTCTGCTTTAAAATTGTTAATGGTATGAGTCTGAGATCTTAGTTCACCTAAGTACCTCTTCTTTTGAGTATGAAGCTCACTTTCCAAAAGTTTGATCTTCTTGTCTCTTGATTCCACCTCTGTTTCAAATTTGATCTTTTCTTCTTTCTCGGCCATTAGTTGAGATTGTAAACCCTTGAATTTGGTGCCAGACTCTAAAGGAGAGCAAGTATTAAACATATGTATTAAACATAAGAATTTCTGAAAGCTTTTGTAAATAATTTATTCTCAAACAAGATGTACATGACACTGTCATTAAGCAATGTAAGCCCTATTGTTTGTTCGTTGCCTTACACCAGACTCAGCAATATTCCAGCTATATGATGCTGGCCTGTAAATAATTAAGTCTGGACCAAGCAATCCAGTGACTGACATTGTGAGCAACAATCATCGGGGAACAAGGACACTCAAATCAACCAAGTCACCGAGTCTGACCACCAGATCCATTTGGTTGGCCTTCAGAATACCAGCTATGGTTGCTGGGAGTCAATTCTAATCTGGAATACCCATGTGTCCTATGACTATTGTCGTGATGGCTCCAGTTTTATGATCATTTCTTGAACATTTTCGATATATTTTCATCATATGCATGTCTTAGGCTACAAAATTATAGATATTTGGATCATCATGCCCTTTGTTCATATAGTGGATAGAAAACATGATACATGAAGCACAATGGTATAATACCTGGTTCTCCCAAGCCATAGCCTTGCATAGTGATTTGGAATGTTAGATCTGGAACAAAGGAACACATCTTTCAACATTTACATCATCACCTAGCCCACAGATGTCAGGTGAGGTGAAATGGGGTTTAATGTCGTGTTCAAGATTATTGCACTTATAACACTTATATAGCGACATGCATGCACGTGTGTGTCTGTGTGTGTGTGGCTGCTTGTACAAGTCCGGACTAATGCCAATTTATAGTGCTAGCCCACTGAGATACCATGCCGCAGTTTAACATGAATACCCCACTCAGACACAGTATACTGACTCCGAGCCGACCAGTTTTTGTTTTAGCCCCTTAAGGATGAGCACCAGACAGGGGAACAACAAGTACCATCTTTTAACGTCTTTTGGTATGACGAGGCCGGGGAACGAACCCTGGACCTTCTGCTCCTGACTGGTGTCAGGAAAGAGTAGCCTCTTCATTATTGATCAACCAGATTAAGAGTTTAGCACTGCTTTTCGCATATTCAAGGGTTTATCTAGACCTGCTCTGGACAATATTCTGCCCAAAGTCTACAGCAAATGACAGTAAAAATTTACCTAATGGAATGAGAATGTCTCAATTCATGTTGATATAGTTACCAAGTTGTGTCAAATATACAGCTTTGTGAGGATGACTTGTATTTCACTGATAAGCAGGCACAATATTAAATGAGTGTGAGTGTATTAGGTTTAACACAGCTTTTGGCAATATTCCAGCAATATCATGGTGGGTGACACCAGAAATAGGCTTCACATTGTACCCATGTGGGGAATCAAACCTTGTCTTTAAGCATGATGAGCGGACCATTGAAACTAGGCTACCCCACCGCCCAGGAACAAAAAAGAGGAAGAGGCATTATTGTATTGAATGCAATGTTAAAATGCCTCTATATTTAAGAAAATAATAATTGTAAAAAGAATTCAAAATTGGCACAAAAAAATAAGTTTTTCCCCAGTTTGCCTGACAAGGGCACTTAATTAGAAAATCCTACATGACCTTTTTACGGTATCCGTGAATATGCCAATCAATGGACTATGGTCAAGAACAATTACTGAACAAACTTGCCCGACCTGTAAAAGTACTGTACACAGACAACACGATTAGAAATTCAACTCTTCTTAGAACGTGAGAGTCAGCACCGATCAAAGCCCTGCAAACACTTGCAGTGAGACTTTCCATGCCAGTAACACACACACACACACACACCCAACAACGGACATTATCAACATTCAGCATTCACTACTCGGGACAAGCATGAGGTAATCAGAGCGTACTATGACCACAGCCTTGTATCTTGAATAATTGAATGGACCATGTCATCCTACAGCTAGATCGCATTGATCATGGCAGCCTGCATAGTCCAGGCCAGACAATCCAGTGGTTGATAGAATGAGCATCTAGTCATTGTGTCAGGCATGAGGACGCACAATCAACCAGGTCACACAGCGTAACCTTGCAATCCTCATTATTTCGCTCTCATCCAAGTATGGGGAACTGGGGACCTCATCGTCAATACTTTACAGGTTTGTATACACCAAGCACTCCATCAAACGTATTACATACAGATGCTTTGTGGTGTAGTCTTTGTATTTAACCCACAATAAAGGTAAAGCCTGGTTTCTGTGAGAGGAAAATCATATAGAGCTCTGACCAGATTACATTGCACAAATGTCAAAAACATATATGATAAATGTGCCATGTGGTCATCTACGCAACCTCACTATAAGGAAAGGGACATGTTCACACAAAATTCATTTGGGCTCATTTGATTTCTAAGAGCTATATTATGCATACACAGCCTCACTTCATTAAATTATCAAAAATAGACTTGCACCACTACTACATATTTGACAGAGATATTCCTGGGTAATGGAAGAATGCACTGTATACTAGGGCTGTTACGATTCACTCGCGTATTCGGTGAATTGAACCGTAACCATTCATGAATTGAATTTGTTGTTCATGGCCATTCAAATTGAATATTTATGAATATGCTATCATGTATATTTACATACCCTGTACCTAAAAATATCCATAACAACATATTATATGCATAGATTTCTTTCAATGACAACACATAATATTTAATTTGATAGTATTGTTTTCACTGGTCATTGTTGCATTTGAGCAGATACTAGTACCTGGATACGTGCAGTATATAAATGTATAATTTATTAATAATTAACAAACCATGTCAAATAAATTATGATGTTATTGTTTCACTGAATATAATAAATAATACATAAACTGCTGACTTGTTATTGTAATTGTGAATTAATATTCGTAATTGGTTACCCTATATTCGTGATATGAATCGTATTCGCCTCATAGTGTATTCGTTGCAGTCCTACTGTATGCAAACCTGTAAGTATGGATGAACATGAGGTCTATTCAGCCCTTGAATCCCCAAGTCACTTGGAACAAGCTTATGGTTAGCAAAACCTTTTCTGTTTAAATATCCTCACTGGGGACTACAAATGCTACGAGGTATACAATGTACATATGCCTGTATCAGATGTCTCACCAGTGCACTTTTTCTGTAGAGTGTGTATTTCTTCATGAAGTCCTTTGAGTGTTGTGGCATGTTCCTGTTGCATGAACAGAATGGAACTCTCCAGGTTCCGCTGGTGGACTGCTGCCTGTGTTGCCATCCTTTAAGGAAGGTGTTTACTCAGTCTACAACAGAAGTCAGCTCATTTTTCATCCCTGTTTAAATAAACTGTTTAACATTTACCCAGAAATATAGGTTATTTTGGTGTAGGATAACACGGGAGAATGTCCAATCAAAAGTGGATGAAATTATTATCATGAAATGTTTTTTTTTTAAATAGCATGGAAGACATACTCTGAAATTTGCTAACTCATCTGTGTAATAAACGCGACATTAATCCAAAAGAATGTTACCACTTCACATAATTTTCGTGTATCCTACAAAGCAGACGACAGATTGTATTGTTTGTAAACATCGGTTTTTTTTCAATTTTATCATTGTAAACAAAATAGACCGCCCTCCGCAAAAATTGGTAAATTGGTCAACGCATGATTAGTACACAAGGCAGCTGATGATCATCTGAAACACAAGTTTTCAATATGATGAAGATGAGAATTGAAAAACACATGTCCAACAATCAATGTCTTTATGATGGTGGTTGAATGAATCTGCAACATTACGCTGAATTGAGTTGAGAACATATGACACATGACTTACTGTAAGACGACAATATCTGGATTTAGCCTGAATTCTTTCCATCTAAATGACAACACTTGGACGCATTTGTAATTATTAATCAAATGCAAAATCCGTCATTCTGTAACAATGGCGTACTTTAGATGTAGCGCACGTTTTTCTTCATCAAGTCTTCCCTTAACAACACATACTCAGACAGCCATTACCTTCACGACGACAGGAATGTTAGAGCATGCCGGGAAATGATGACAGTTACGCGATAGTTCATTCTTTTCAAAATATACAAAGATAGATGTGAATGATTTAAGAAATACAAAATATCATAATACAATGGGGCACATATGAATACTAATAGTGGTTAATAATACTTAAATCACGCTAACGCGTTGTTTCCTTAGATAGTATTAGGGTTACAACTAATTGTATAAGACAGCATTGTGTAAATTCAATATGCCAGAAACGTAATGTTTGTACGGTTTTCTATCAAGTAGTAAACGTCATGGAGTTAAAAATGTATTTTGTGTAATAAATGCATCGACCCACACAACGAAAACATTTTGATAATACGTTGAATGGTGGTTTTATAATGTCTGTTAAAAGAATATCTTATTGCCAAAAAAGAAACAAATATGGCTACCCAAGGAAATGTGATTCCGAAAGCTGGATTTGTTGTATGGGAATGGTTGAGTGAATATGGTCGATGGAGGCCTTATGATTCTCCCGTGACTTGTCAGATTGAAGGCCAATATGGAAAAGCACCACAAGTGTATCTTGGGGCAGTCAACCAGTCGTTGTGCATGTACATTGTTGATTTTACAAACATGTGTCAAATTCGCCAAGGATCAGGTGTGTGACCCAACATAAATTAACCGAAAGTGTTGAAAGAGCTGTGAGGAATTAAAATGTTTATGTTCCGATCGCAATGTGCTGTCGTAGATATCATAAAACAACCCAATGCGGACATCCAAACTCAAAGTAAAAGCGAATGAAATGTTGTCGAGTCAACGTGATAGATGTGAACAAAACTGGGGGCCCAAAAATCAGCCAAGTTGATATTGTTTTGCATACGTCAGCAATAAGAACTTGTTTGTGCTAGCTACTTGGCATTTAGACCATACTCATATATATCAGCCATGAGTCTCCATTGACTAAAAATAACCCTGTAAAAGTATGGGTCGTTTGGTGTACACACTGCAAAGGTCATGTACATGATGTTTATCATATTTTGAATGATGATATTCTCTTAGTCTTAGTATGTATTTACCATGTTTAATGTAAATAATTATACCATATACTCATGATGACTGCACACATTCACACAATTACTATGACTGTAGGCTTTATTATCCATGGTAACACTAGTCCATGGATGGTAAAGTTTACAAAGGGCAAGTGGAATGCAAATGCAAATTGAAAAAGCTAGTTCAGTTAGGAGCAAGTCAAAATGGACATGAAAAGCAAAAGCAACCAACCAGAAAATTCAAATGTTTTTAAAGTGTTTAGTATGTAATCGGCTGTTTTGTGATCCATATTTAAAAAGTGAAAATAACTAATTAAAAAGTAACTAAATTCTAATTCACACGCATGATAAGAATCAATTCTCATGAATACACACTTAAAATATCAGTCAAAATTTCGCAAAAGCTGGTCTATTTTATGTAAACACTTTTACTACAGTGCTTCTAATCAGCATCAGCTGTATGGGTGGTGCATTCCTGCTTATCCAGCCTTGCAAATAGGGGATAATCCCAGTGTTGTTTATTTAAGCATGGGGTTATTGTCAAAGGAGAGACAAGCCAAAAACACTGGACCCTTGCCATGTTTGTAAATGTAGTTAACCATGGTAGTGGCATGAATGTATGTAAACATTAATTTTATTACATAATACAAAAGTACAATAAGATGAAAATGTTTATTTTCATTACCATTATCATGATTATTCATTCAAGTCTATACATGTTCATTATACATGACAAAGATACCTGATGAATAAATGTTTATTAGGCTAAAAAACATAAAAGTCTTGGTTCTCAGGCACAGCCCACATCATAAAGTTCATTGCACGTTTTGTTTTTGTTTCCATTTTTACCTTTTTGTGTGCATGGTGTTTAAATATTAGGATTTTTATGGGTTTTTTGAAAATGGAAATAAAAACAAAACGTGAGGCAGACTTTATGATGCGGGTGGTGCCTGAGAACAAAGACAATTTTTTTTTAAGCCTTATCATGATTATATAGATAAAATTTCATCAGTTTTCGTTTTATTGAAATACGTAAGTGTTGAAACTGTACAAATAACATTAATTCATTGTGGACATTTTGAGTTACGTGCCTTATTCATGGTTAATACACCCACACCCCCAACATCCATCTTCCTCTTCCCTCTCTCCTCCTCCATTAGGACGTGTTTCTAGTACCTTTCAGAAACTTTGCGCCACACAACATGAACTTGTAATCTCAGAATTCTGATCTCAGTTTGGCAGCCATATTGAAAATGTCCCTCATGTCAGTTACTTTGAAGACATTATTTTGAATTATTACCATTATTCAGCAATTTCATTATGTATCACTGGGGCGGTGGGGTAGCCTAGGGGCAAAAGGTCTCTTCACGCAGAAGACCCGGGTTCGATTCCCCACATGGGTACAATGTGTGAAGCCCATTTCTGATGTCCCCAACCATGGTACTTTTGGAATATTGCTAAAGGCGGCGTAAAACCAAACTCACTCTGATTCACTCTCTCCTGTAACATTGTTATGAAATAACAGATGTAATGTTGATTTCTGGGCTAGAATAGATTCCTAGCAACCTATGCTGGTAAGAGATGACAAAAAGGATTGTTTGTCATCGTATCACAGTGAATTGCTCATTATATCAATCACTGCTTTGTCTGGTCCAGACTTGTTTACAGACCGACAACATGTCATGCCTATAACTCAAGTGCTGTGTAAAAGTGAGTGAGTGAGTATGGTTTTACACCGCTTTTACCAGACATGGGCTTCACACATTGTCCCCATTGAATCGAACCTGGGTCTTCGGCGTGACCTGAGTAAAAGACAAAGAAATATATTTATGTTTTGATCCTGTATCTTTGACCCTAATATCCACTCATTAGTAAAGTCATACTTCATTTTGACATCTTTAATGAAACCAGTTTAGGAACATGAGGAGCTTAAATTTTGTGTGTGTGATCACAGGAATGGTATCTCTAAATTGTTATGGGGCCCCTTGTGAATCAGCATCAATACTTCCTGGGTCTATATTCCTGGATTTATCCTCATTGCATTTGTTGTACTACAATTGGTAGTCTTTTTATGTGTTATGCTTTTAACCATATGGATGCCATTGTACAAAACAACCTTAGCGCTAAGACTGTCGTAAGTCTATGGTAAGGTATGGGAGTTACGATCACCTTAGCGCTAAGATCGCTTTGTACAGCGGCACCATTGTATATTTCATATTGCATCGAACATATACACTTCGCTGTATAATTTTACATGCTTTTAACATGTTTAATGAATACATAATTTGCCCTTGTCACTATGTGGTTGTGATGTTGCTGATGCGACATTAAATTATAACTCACTTACTCATTCATTACCCTACACTGCATTCCTCAGTCACCTGGGAATATGTATGTTTGTATTGAGTCAGGTATTGAAATGAGGTGAAATGAACCCTACTCCGTGCATGACCTCTATGCAAAGCCTACCATTGCCTGACATTGAAGCAATTTGTAGAGGCTACAAGGCCACTGCATGTGTTGCTCCAGACATGTTGCCGATGTTTGTTTGTTTCTTGTTTAATGCCGCACTCAGCAATATTGCAGCTATATGACATAGTATAGGCGATAGAGGTACTGGGGCAATTATGTGATGACGATCCAATGATCGACATGTGTGGCATTAGTATTTATCAAGATGCCATTATATATTGAGGAAACAATTTATCCTTAATCTCCTGACCCGTGAAGATTCCGGGGTAGAATAGGTCTTCAGCAACCCATGCTTGCCGTAAAAGGCGACTATGCTTGTCGTCAAAGGCGACTAACGGGATCGGGTGGTCAGGCTCGCTGACTTGGTTGATACATGTCATCGATCCCAATTGCGTGGATCGATGCTCATGATGTCAATCACTGGATTGTCTGGTCCAGACTCGATTATTTACAGACCGCCGTCATACAGCTGGAATATTGCCGAGTGCGGCGTTAAACAACTAAACCAACCAACCAACCAACCTTAATCTCCTACCAGTTCTCTGGTTTTGGCACGGCATACTTGATGTGCTTGTTGTCTCCCCTGTTCTATTAACCTTTTTCTCATCTTCCCTACATGTTGATCATTGGATCGTCATCACATAATTGGTAAAACTTAAGATCTCCATGGAACAATTGTCAGGCGCTGGAAACTGGTCCAGGGTGGGGTGCCCCAGTACCCCCATTGCCTATACTACTTTCTGTAACCAGGAAATCCAGTTATTGATATCACGAGCATCAATCTACGCAATTGGGATACAATGCCATATATCAACCGAGTCGGCAAGCCTGAACACCCGACACGGTTAGTGGCCTCTGACGACAAGCATAGCCACCTTTTATGGCAAGCATGGGTTGCTGAAGACCTGTCCTCACCTGGATCTTCACAGGTGTATTAACTGGACATGGAGAAACATCTTGTATGCAAGCCCATGAAGTATTGAAACTCATCGATTACAATCTGTCCACTGACCGATTCAGAGAATAAGTACATACATTAAAACACTCAGTGTTTGAAGCTAAGGGGTTCCTGGGGTCCTAGAGGTTTTCTGCTGAATCATTTGAGTCTAGTGACCTTGACAGACATCTGGACTTTCATGCCAAATTCCAAACACTAACACTCCTCCTGTTCACCTTTGCTCTTCCTCTGATATTCCCTTCTTTTTTTCTGTAGGTACAACACGTCCAGTGAGAAGGAAGATCTATCCCCAAGTTAGCCATTCAGCCAATCAGATTGCATGGCAGTGGTCAGGTGACACACCAGGCAGTTGGAACACTTACGACTTTGATGTTGCTGGTGTTGTTGAAGATTACTACAGTCGAGGACAGAAGATCCTTGACCTGAGCGCTACCCTTCTTCAGCTGCCTTATTATATCAATCTTAGTGCTATGCAGCAAGTGAGAATTGAAACCGGAACAATACGTGGAATAAGACGGCAGATTCTAAGTGTACCATACCCTTTAGACACTGGAAAGGCACAAAATTTGGTGTTGCCACCTCCGCAACTTTTAAGCACCTCCTCATCTACCTCCATGTCATCAGGTGTAAACAAGAGAACAGCATCCAGTAGTTCGGACTCCGATTCAGATGGCGGGCTTCCGAACGGGAGTTTGCGGCACTTACGATCATCAAGGAAAAAACGTAAAAGTCGTTTCCATGCTGTTGGATCAAGCAGTAAAACGCAGAGTAGTAGTGCTAGTTTAAACATTCCAAATCCATCCATCTCCATGGGACATCAGTATATGATGCCTCCTGCCTCCAATGCAATGATTCACGGATTAATTCCTCCAAGCAATAGGGCTCTTCAACATACAATGAACAGCAACTCCGTGGCTAGTTCCAGCTCCAGTGCTGGTAACCATGGGAACAGTATGTTCAACTTGCTACCTCCGGCTCCTTCTGTATCTTCCACCAGCGGTCAGTTATTTCAGGGCCCTCTCACTCGGAGCAGGTACAACAATGTGGCATCGTCCAGTCTGGCGCCGAGCATCATGGTGTCGTCCACCTCGGGATTTGTGCCATCTACGTCAATGTCCATGATGTATCACAATAGTATACCAATAGGAATGTCAGCACATTCACAGTTCATGCCTTCTGCTGCAAATAAGTGAGTATTAGTAACTATTTTTTCTTATTCTTATACATGTTATAGTTATAGGCTGCGTGGTCTAGTGGATAGAGCCTTCCCAGGGAGTGGAAGGTTGGGGGTTCGATCTCAGGCCGCCTCATACCAAAAGATGTTAAAAGATGATACTTGTTGTTACCTTGCCTGGCTCTCTGCATTAAGGGCATGAAAAAAGTACTGGTCGGCACAGAGTTAGTATACTGTGTCTGAGTGGGGTATTCATGTTAAAACTGCAGCATGGTATCTCTTTCAGAGGAATAGCTCTATAAAATGGGCATTATTACAAGAAGCCACAAGAATACACTGACACAAGCATGCATGTAGCTCTATAATGCAATAATCTTGAATGTGACATTAAGGCCCATTTCACCTCACCTATTCCTGCCTCTCTAGCAAGCAGAAAGACTGCTTCACCTGGTGGCTTCTCAAAGGACAATGTGGTGCCTTATTATGCTTACTCCTTACTAAAAATATTAATAATCATCTGAGATAAGCTGTCAGCATTAGAAATTGGCACTAGTCCTGTTGTCCTTGCCAAACTGCACAATAGTTAAGGTATCATAAGGACAAGTAGAAATTTGCCTTTTTTCAGGGTTTTGCTATATGTTATCATTATAAGGACTTGTGGATCAAACCTGTTAGTTTTTATCATATCTACCACTGGCTGTGCCAGGAATATTTTACAGAAAAGTGTGTTTATAGCGAATACGCTTATTACGAACTGACGGATATAACAAACTGTTTTTGTCCACGTCCATTTGCTGCTTTTTTTATCATATGGATATAACGAAGCCGTTTATCATGTTTATAACGGATGTAGCAAACTCACTTTGTGGACCCGTCTGTACTTTGTCAACAACAATTTTTATCTTTATAACAAACTGTTAAACCCTGAGCTGCCCACATGTCAATCATCAGTCCATCAAAACATCTGTGGCCAGCACACTGCGCACACTCTTCAAAGGGTTCAAAATGAATAGATAAGTGTGCCAAACTCACAATTAAAATCACGATGGAATAGTTAAAACAAACTCTCAGTACCCTTGTGGCATGCCCCTAATTAGAACATATAACAAATCACAACTGTGTTGCAGGGGTAGAAACTAACCGTTTTGGTCCACTAGTCCTTATAACAATAACATATAGCAAACCCCTTAAAAATGGCAAATTTCTACTAGTCCTTATGATACCTTTTCTATTGGGCAGTTTGGCAAGGACTATAGGAATAGTGCCAGTTTCTAACGCTGGTGTTGTATAACTTATTGTATAATAATTGTGATCAGGTGCAGATTATATGCCCCGCTATTAACTTCTATGGGTGTGGTCATGTTTGTTTCCACTGTGCATGACTGTAAACAGTGCATTGTGGGATCGTCGTCGTTTTGTGACAGCCGATCCCAGCCGATCGTGTGGGCACGGGTGACCCAGATGTTTAAGGCGCTACAATTTGCTTGCCGAGTTGCGTTATTGGGCATGCCAGAAACCTTTGATTTTTAGGTTTTTCAGTACCATAACCATGCTTGTGAGTTTCACCAAAGTGCAAAATGTCTAAGACATGCATCACTTCAGGCTGTCCTCATTCATTAAGCTGACTGACTGTGATATAACTGCAATACTGTTCACAGCGGCATTAAACCCAACTCACTCACTCACCCACTCAAATTATTCCGCATTCTATACGCTGATAAGCAATGTCATTAATCTCATTATTGCCCATTACTGAACAAGTTTTGCATGTATCATTATTTTGAAATATGTTATGTTTTGATTGTGAAATAACATTTGTCATGTTTGGGGCAAATTTGAATCTTGACCTCCACTGTGACCTTTGACCTCCACTGTGACCGTTGACCTCCACTGTGACCTTTGACCTCCACTGTGTCCACCAAGTTCATATTTTTTATGCATTTTGGACAACTATTACTACAAGGCCACACTTGAATCAGCTAAAACTGAAGAGAAGATGATCACAGCAACGATGTTGCTAATATTTGTAAACAAACTTCCAATCTGATCTGCAGCCATATGGAGAATGTTTGCTTTGGACATTAACATGATTATTGACTGGGTTTGCGAAGCTATTTTAAATTTTGGTGTGTACTGTGAAGTAACATGGCAAGTGTGTGGTACATGTACTGTATTCGACGTAATAAGCGCCCTGCTCTAATAAGCGCCCACGGCGATACTTGCCAATATATTGGCCAGTGAACAATCCTAATTAGCACCCCTTCCGATTGATCAATGTTCACAAGAAGTATTTATTCGCGTATAATACTCACTCATGTGTTATATGCACACTTAATTATTGGCAATTAAATTCTTGAAAAATATATCTGTCGTACATAAACATTTCAGGCTGTCAGCATAAACCACAGAATTTATCTTTTAACTCGTTTCTTTCACTAAAATAATACTCTAATAAGAGCGCCCTATTTCTAATTTTGAGAGCGCCCTGGGCGCTTATTGCGTCGAATACGGTATATATGCAACAGAGGTCAGAGTTCCACTGGATGCAAACTGTGCCTGAACTCGCAAAAGCACACAAGTTTTACAGGTGTTCATTGTTCAGAGTTATCACATTTGCAAAGTCAGTCCCTTGTGTGGCTGCCATTTGTTCTTGAAGGTAATCTGGAGCTTGTAGACAAACATCAAGCTTCACCTCCCACATCTTTCTGAGGCAAGAGAGTTAACTGACCATAAAAGTCAAGACGATCTGATCGATAATCAAAATCTATATTGTGATAAACGGGTCTTACATCGCGTTGTGCATCAAATCATGTGAGCACCTTGATTAAAAACATGAAAAGGTTTGGAAAATATCTGTTGACAGCGAGTTGGCATGTTTTGCAAATCCTGCAATCGACCGAAATCTGCATGACAGTTTACGAACCAGACTTCGATTTCGGTGCGCGATTTTGATTGGACTATGCATAGACTCGTTAGTCCAGCCAAAATGTAACTCCATAATACCAGCCTAGTTCGGCAAGGGTAGAAACTGGACTTTTATAGTCAGTTAACTCTCTTGCCTCAGGAAGATGCTGTGGAAAGGATCATTCATAATTGAAAACCTCTAAGATGTGCCAGTTGACTTTTATGTAATGGATGTCAAAATTCATCTCATGACTGTCAAGTGGTATTCTTGGTAAACCTGTGCCGAACACCCTTGTGTCAATCATTTCAACCAAATTTAGCATTTTCATCTCAGGGGTTGATTTAACTGCTGGCCTGTTGGCCTGTGGCCAGTTAAAATTATGAACAACATGATGAAAGGCTTGCTGAAACGTAAAGTTGATGTCCCATCTGGCTAGTTGAAATGTCACCCCTTCTTTGTGTATGTTTAATTGTTTTTTAATTGGACACTGCTCATGAATCGTGTAATTTTAATGAGGAAATATGTAGGGGGAATGAGGTCGTGTGAATGGTTAACTCAAAGAACGATATATCCCAATCTTCTCAATAGAATGACACAACTGGCAGCCATTTTGTAATGTTCTTTACTTGCTGATAAATTACCACAGAATGAGGCAAATGGAAGCCAAGACTTAATCTCAGAGTGCAGGAAAAGACATTTTAGGGATGAGGAGTTCTAAAATATTTTGAGCACCCTGGGTAACTTCTGCTATGCGACCTGGGTTTTGGACGATTTTCTTCCTCCATCATCTAGTCGTGGGCCAGTAAGTTTGGAGAAGGGTCAGTAATTTTTTAAAGAAGCAAGCCCTGCTGGCTACAAACTGTTTGTTAACTCTACCCCTGTCATCTTGTTATGACACTATTTTATTGGTAGAATGCATAGTTCAGTTATTTTGACACGGTATAGTTGTCAGGCTTGCTTGACAATGATTAAAGGGTCTTTACTAAAATGTTGCTACAATAGTATATTGAAGAAGTTGTAGCAATGTTCGAATACACATTTCTGAAGTTTGCATTATTTTGTATATATTGTAGTTGAGTATAGTTAGACACAGGTAAATCAGTGGTTACAGTTTTATGTGTGTTTAAGGGGACACAGGTGGCCCAGTCGTCTAAGGGCTTAGGTGCCGCGATTCGCAGTGCAGAATTGCGTCCCCTGGGTGCACCAGAAACCTATGATTGTGGGTTTGAATCCCGGTTCACCCCGATTATGTTACTAGGTTTGTCAGCACCATACCTGTGCTAGTGGGTTTCACAAAAGTGGTAAACGTCTGAGACCTGCATCACTTGGGGCTTTCCTCCCACATTAAGCTGACATGTCGTGATATAACTGGAATACTGTTAAAAGCGGCATGAAACCAAACACACTCACTCACTCACTCATGTGTGTTTCAAGGCACAAAAGTGTCCTCGTGTGCCTGCTATAGCTGTTGTACTGTTTATGTAGGAACTTGGCCAATAAGTAAGAATTAGATAGTCAAGTGTGCATGGTTAATTTGTTTGTTAGCTATTTCTGAATAATATTTCTGAAGTTGGTATACTTGATGTTATCCAGTTTCCATGATACAACATTAATTCACCTGTTCTACAAATAGGGGCCTTTTGTCAGTTTTATATATATAGGGGCTTGTATAGGGGCCTGTTGTGTGTTCTACATTTAGGGCTCTGTTCTACATGTGTACAACCTCCGAGGTTCAGTGGACATTGCGTCTGCCCAGAGAGCAGAAGGTCATGGGTTTGATCCCCAGCCGCATCATACCAAAAACCTTTAATACATGGTACTTGTTGTTACCCTACCTGCAGCTGGGCATTAAGGGGCTACAACAAGAACTGGTCCGTATACTGTGTCTGAGTTGGGTATTCATGTTAAATTGTAGCATGGTATCTCAATGGGCTAGCACTTTAAAGTTGGCATTAGCCTATGCACTTCACTATCTCATGTATATAAATGCAATAATCTTGAATGCGACAATAAAACCCTATTTCACCCCACCTTCTACATGTATAGGGTCTGTTCTCTGTTCTACATATAGGAGCCTATTCTCTGTTCTACATATAGGGGCCTGTTCTCT